GATGACAGTACGATATGGCTTCTGGAAAGTCGAAGTTGCGTGTTTCTCGCAGATGCGAGAAGGCCGTTTCTAACACTTGATGAAGTAGCAGTACTTGAGTAATTCGACCGTCCTCGACCGTCTCAAAGGAAATCTCTCCCTCTCGGATGGTTGTTTTGTGCTTCTTGTTCGGCTTCAGACGTGCTTCAAGCCGTGTCATGACAAATGGAGCCATTTGGCCATCACGAAGTTGCAGAGCATTTCCGAGAACTGGTGGGACAGCGTATAGCCAGCTCATTCTACCCTGCTCGACCAGAGCACTAACAATTACCTCGAGAGCCTCATTAGCACTATGGTTTGGGTTCGGCTTTACGTGCTTAAGGCGCAGCATTCCACACAGCGCGTAGTATTTGTCTGACGGAACTGTGGCACTCAAGCCTGACGCAAGTTGCAGCACGTTTGCATCGCAAAGCTCGTATGTCTGTGCTTCATCGTAGTTCTGCCGCAAGTACCATAGCAAGCGGCACCAGGACGCGAACTCATCCAGCCATGTCTCACTCAAGTTGTTTCGAAAGAGCAGTGCGGCGATGACTCCTGCATCGGCGAGCGACAGCCAATCGCCGCTGTCGTCCCATGTGAGCAGGTAGTTCTGGCTCAGCAATATCTCTTGCAGAATCCAGGCGCGTTGACGCCAGGTGCCGTGACACAGGTCCCGAAGTGCTTCCAGTGCAATATTTTCAAGTTCGGGATCGAGTGAGGATATTGAGGTGCAGGATTGGCACAGTAGACAGTTATGCGGTACCATTTGCGCAATGTCCTTCAATCGCAGCGGACCTGAAAGTGGGCAATACGTGCGCTTCTTCACCTCCAGCAGCGGCTTCAGATCCAGGCCCGGACTTCGAAGGAGTAGAATTGTGCATCGGGCTTCATAGTATATTTCATCCATGCGTGGTATCCAGTAAGCCTTGTCCTCCCTGGACTCTTGATCGATGCACTTACAGTCGAGCCAACAGCGGGTAGCCTTGCCAGTGATGTCCTTCGTGTCTTTAGGTGCTGAGTCTCCCAAAAGCGTATTGAGCCGTGTCTGAAGAACGGGCCAGCTTGGAACCTTGTCGTTTGGATTGTCTCGCCACTCGCTCCAAACGTAGGATATCGCGACGTGAGTGCGAAGGCCGCTGGTGAGAAATCCATGCCGATCCACTTGCCGGTGGAACTGTGATGTGCTTGGATCAATGAGCGAGAAAGTCGATCGCTTTGATGATATGTACGACTTTGATGGTGCAGTAGGCATTGCTAGAAACATGCGCTAGCCAGGCAAGCACAATGTAGCAACAGAAGGCTCAACCGGGAGATCTACACACTTTTTCGGATCCCTAACGCAATTGAGCCGTCAAATAGACTGGTTGTTGATTTAATAACACTCTATATGGCATTAAGATGTTTGTGCGCAACACCTCCCTACTATGTTATCCCCAAGCATTTTGGCGTGTTTTGTTGGAAGCGGTCAGGTGGTGTGTGGGGCAAAGTCGGGCTTTGGGCTGGTGGTTTGCGAGTATAATACTCCCTTAGCATCGGTGCGCCACTCGGGTAATGCTGATCTGGGCGTGTGGTTTACAAGTATGATACTCCCTTAGCATAAGTGTGCCACTAGGGTAATGCTAATTTGGGCTTGTGGTTTGCAAGGTACTCCGATCCCGTAGCACGGAGTATGAGGATTTGCAGCAGCGTAAGAAATGGTTTACTATTCTTTGCGATCCAATTCTAACCTTCGGGCATGACAAATTCGGCTAACGTGGCTTGCACTGGCGCTAAACTCCAACTTGGAATCCAGCTTCTAAAACCCAACACACAAAACCTGGAAGCGCAAAGTGAAAGCCGGAACTCGAAGTTGGGCGCTTACATGATGCGACGCCAGTGGCTATCAAACGACCGCCTTTCCCGGCATGACTGGTGGGTTGTGCTGGGCTCATCAATGTGCATGCTCGCAAGCCCCGGGCCTGCCCACTGCATCAAAATAGCCTGCATTTGGTGTACCTAGGCAGCGTTTTCCATGGACTGCTTCGACGAGGTGGCAGCATTAGCTACCGGCGGACAATAAGAGACTCAACTTGAAGATCTCGTGGAAGTGTACGAGAGGGATGGATTCAACTGGGTACTGAAGCTTTGGAGTAGGGATGTACTGCTTCAAACATTCGACGCAGATACTAATGGCTTACAGGTTCGCAGCCCATTTGCCGCAGGCGATCGCACAGGCAGAGATCGAGAAACCTCTCCATTCGCCCTTTCCCTTACCTGGCTTAAGGCATATCTGAGCTGGAGGGTCAGAGTCGCGCAAGCTCAGCTCGATGATCGAATAGCATTGTCAACCATGCAGAAGAAACTTGAACAAGTATTACGAATAGTGAGACTATCAACAGGCCACGTCTATATTGCTGCTACCCAAGCACAACTTGAGAGTGTGGGTACTAATTCAAAGAACGCCTGTACACTATGGCTAACTGTGCTATAGCACCTAAACGGCCTCGTCAGAACCAAGTCCGTGTCCGCGAAAGCAAGAGTAAAGCCAGTAGCTCTTTATTTCGATTTGGAAAGAATCATCACATTCTTATGGTGTTGTGACAAAAAGTTATCACTAAGGTACCACCCGGAAAATGAGCGTTTTGGCTGCCATCGCCAGCGCCCCTCAATCACATGCTCAAATACCCTGTGATTGTAGACACGTTGTTGCATGTATTCAAGTAATAATTAACCTGATTGCGGAATTTCTAATCACGTGGTAGTCGAGCCGCGTTGCCAGAAAGCCATGAAAAGATACGTGAAATGACACCTTATCTTCCTCCACGGCGACCTTGGCAAATTCTAGCCCGGTGACCAGGAGTCGTGTCAGCAAATGGAAAGGCTTCTGAAGGCTCCGCTTGGTGTATAGCACACGTGAGTTGTGTTCAAAAGTGAATGAAAAATTCCCCAATCTCGGCTTTTCCCCTCTCCTCCCCCCTCACGAGCCGACAAACGCCTTTCCCTGCTACACTTCGGCTCCGACCTGCACATAACTCCACCCTCTACGAGATAGCTATGCCTTTGACAGTATATCCGTACATCCCGCATCCAACACTGATTTGTCCCGAAAGGGACTTCAAGTTCTTCCCGTCTTTTCTGAGAGCATTCCGGCGTTGCGGCAAGTGCCTGAAAGGCAGTCGAGCAATCCAAGTAGCACTGGTCTGCGTCAAACAGCTCTTTTGTTGGCGTCCAATCGAGCTCAAATTGCCAATTGGTATACTGCTCCGGCCCATCGGCTCTCGTTAAAGCGCGAATCTTTCGACCCGTGAATGTCGGATCAGAAGCAGCCCGGTGAGATTGCCAACGACGTCAGCCGTCCACTGGAGTTGCTTGCCATCATTGAATGTACCGCGACAGAACGTTGAATAGACCTGATTCGATGCGGAACTGAATACGTCTGCCGGGACGGCGCTCGCCGCATCCACGCAACTGACGTTCAGAACTGGAAGAGGTTGCTCCATGGCCCTCATCCTGGAGCCGCAGTTTGGCGGCGTGAAACCTTCCGAGGGCTGGTAGTCGTCCTCAATGTCTTCCGAGTCGTCGGAAGAGTCGGCAGTGCCCGCGGGGTCGTTGAGAAAGGAGCCGTCGGCTCGTCGAAGTGGTGCGATGGGCTTGATGCCCTTCGACTTGAGAGACTCGCGGCTCATATACAATCTTTTCCAAGGTTGACTCTCTGGATGAGAGAACTCGATGACCAGGCAGAGCTTTACCGCCAAGATTCTAGCTCTCTCCCTCGTTTGGCCACGTTTGTTGAAGTTCGCCAACTTCGCCTCGATGGTTTCCCCAGCTGCCAATGAAAGCTTTTCCCTCGTAATCCTCCACTCCTTTCCACCTCTTCCCTCCAAGTCTGTCCATCAGCACTGCAGTCTTCTCGTCCATTGTCATACATAAGAACAATCTCGACACATCGTCTGGAGCGACCTCGTCCATGCGTCCACCAGGGTACATCATTGTCGGCCACTCAGCTACGACGAGTCCGCCTGCGCTAGGCCATGCGGCACCAATCCACGCGTTTTCCCTCGCCGTTGGCTCAGGCTGAGCAGCCATTACCTCCTCATCTTGCGAGTGGTCGGGTTCAGTGAAGAGGGCGTGTCTAGTGGGAGAGTCCCACCACTTCCCACCGAGCAATAGTAAGCGCTGAGCAAAGTCGTCTTCCTCTTGTTGAGTGGCGTGACGCTTCTTCTGTGGGTCGAGACGGTCGAGGCCGAGAAAGTCAAAGTCTGCAGGACAGGGCCTCTCAAGTACGATCACACCTCCACGTGACGGCCAAGCGAATATGGTGATTTCTTCGCAGAAATCGACACGTTTACTGAGATCTTTGACGCTATCGTAGACGGTTCGCGGACCGCACAAGTGCCTCGGACGTTGCACCGGATTTGTGAAACGTGCGCTATCAGATGGGGGCGGCGGTGTGGGACGGATTAGACTGATCAGGCTGTCCATGACGGGGCCGAAATGTGTGTCATTTGCAAGGGTGGAGGCGGGGAACAGAAGATCAAGATACAATAGCTACGCCTCATGCTCGGTCACGTGCAAACCTAAAATGGCGGTATAGTACTCCCCACCCAAAACCCGTTCAATGCCCCAAAACGATCAAAAAATGAGGTAACTTGATCAAGAATGAATAGTCTAACAAGCATAAAGATAACAGCTCAGCGTTGCGTTTCGAAGATATTATGATGAAGCAACACCGATGGAGGTGGGGTGTGGGCCTCGGCAGGAAAGGCTGGGCAAGCACACATCAGGCGGAAAAAACAACGAAGCAAACACAATACTAAAACGTACAGACGTTGCGAGTAGAAGGGAAAGATGTACATACCAGTAAAGCTATTATCACAAGAGCAAAAAGAAGGTTCCTGTGGATTGACGGGGTATCGAACCTTCGAACTCGGGAGGGAAAAAAAAGACTCGGCGAATTGGACTCGCGGGGAACTATGGTAATGTCAGTGTGAATCTAACACACAAAGCGATACAGGGAACGTACTCGAACCCCGGACCACTCCCAGTCATTCTCAATGAGATGCTAAGGGAGTATTATACCACTAAACCACAAGCCCGGCTTCTGGATCAAGTCATTTTATGGAGAGAACATTTTTCGATGATGATATATAGTGCAAAATACGCAGCGACACAGACCGAGCGAGTTTTTGCTTCTTCAAAGACCTAGCATTCCGGCAAAATCTACCACGCTACCCAGCTAGAGTGGATTCGTGGTGACCAATGCGAACAAAGAAAGTCCGCTAGTTTACCTACTGGCTTGGCGGACGAACTTCGGAGCATCCATCTTCACAGTTAGTCATCACGTAGGCGCATCACAGCTGATCGTCGCAATGGCAATCTTGGCTCGTGGCATGCTATGTTGTGCATAAATAGTTGGATCTTCACTAGAAATCACTGTAGGACAGTTGCATTCGAATCCTTCACCATAGCCAACTAGGCAAAAAGCTCTTTTGGTCTTTTCTACATCTTCGTTTCCCTCCATTACAGGCTTGCTCAACCATTCGAATGTACTCAACATGACAAAGACTGTACTTGTAGTTCCCGGAACAGGAGAGCAAGGCCGCGCCGCTACTCAGGAGTTCCTTCAACGCGGCTACAGTGTCCGAATCCTAGCTCGCAACTCTTCCTCTGATGCTGCGGAAAAGGCCCGCTCTACGGGAGCACTTGTGTACGTTGGCGATCTTGGTTCCATCGACACTCTTGCTGGTGCATTTGATGGGGTTGACGCTGTTTTCCTTGCTCTTCCAGCGGGTGGGGATCACGACGAAATCGCTTATGCGACAAACGTTCTGAAAGTCGCCAGAGAAAAGAATGTCCAGCACCTTGTTTTCACCAGTGTAGCACGTACAGGTGATCACGAAAGCTTTCCCGGCTGGGACCCCAACGGCACAATGGGATGGTACTGGAAGAACAAGCACGAGGCTGAGGAGATGGTGCGCGCCGCGGGATTCCCGTTTTGGACTATTCTTCGTCCAACATACTTTTACACGAACTTCGGCCGCCCAATGGTCGACTGGATGTGGCCAGGACTCGTAGACAAGCATGAGCTACAGGTCGCTTTTAATCCTGATACTAAGCTCGATTTCATTCACACATCGGATATTGCAGCTGTCGCGGAGGCTGCAATTAGTTCGCCATCAGCGTTCTCCGGGAAAGAGCTTGCTCTCGCATCAGAGTCTTTGACCGCTGCGCAGATGGCTGAGAAGCTTAGCATTATTAGCGGCGAGACAGTCACGGTTCGATACCTCAGCGATAGTGAGCTTAAGAAACAGCTAGGCGATCTAATTGCTTCGTCGCAAATATGGACAAGGGATGTTGGTTATGATGTCAACGTTGACACCGTGTCTCAACTGATTTCACGATCTACACCGATGTTGGAGGCACTTAACAAAGAGAGATTAGGCTGGTAGACGCTGTAGAAGGTAGACTTTGGTTTAAGGACTAGGACAACGTTAGGAGGCGACATTCAGCGTTCAGGGTCGAAGTGCATATATATTTGGGATCTTCTTTTAGGCAGGATATATTCGACCGCTCGGATTTGCTCTTTGGCCGATCGTTATCGCTCAGCAGTTCCTGGAGGTCTTAGCATCTCTTCGTAGGCGTAGGTAAGCACAACAAAATAGTTGAGAGCCTCTGAGCGACTATTACATTTAATTTTTAGTAGTACGTGAATGTATCCAGCCTATTATATTGTTCAAAGTGCGTAGTAACTCTTAAGAGCACTACTACTCAGAGTGCGCGGCCGAATAGCAAAAGGTCACCGCCGAATATATTTAGCCTTCTTCTAGGAAGAGACAGCCGACAGCCCTCAGATATTCCTTAGGGTTTGGCCAGCTACCTAGATTTTCACTGGCCGGTTATCTTCAACTTGATTCCTAATGTCTAAGTGCATTACCTCCTCGGCCTAATCTTGACTCCGCGATCCCACCACACGTACGATCCCTCGATCCAGTCGGATGAAGAACGACACCATCAAGGCCCAGGGCTCGGGACTAAGCAATACCGGTTAATGAAACTGCAGAGAATAGTGTAGAGTTCAGAAGACGATTAAAGAAGCGGTGGGGTATGCTCCTAGGATAAGTTTACATGACTACTTCGTCAACTAATAAGACTTACCGTCATTCTGCAGTATAATTATCTTCACCACATTCAAATAAACCCCTACCCTCTATGAACCCCCCCCCCTCCCATCCCTCCACCACCCCCTCTAACCTCCCTCCTCTCCCCACCCCAAACATTATTCAAACTCTCCGCCCACCCCGGATGCGCAAACACGCCGTCCCTCAAATCCATCCACGTCAACCCGCCCACCATAGCCATCTGCACCACACTCATAATCTCCCCGCCCTCGACCGCAATCACACTGAAGTTTACAATCCTGTTTGTCTTGGGGTCAATGACGGCTTTCATCATGCCGCGTGTCTCGTCGGTTTCAAGGCCGCGAGCGATCCAGGATGCGGGCATCGAGTAGGCGATGTATGTGCGGGAGGATGAGAGGGTGGAGAGGGGCGGGCCGATTGTGGCAAGTTGGGGGTCGGTGAAGGTTATGCTGGGGATGTACGGAGCGCGGGACTCGATGTTGCGGAGACTTTGGGGAGGGTTGTTGTCGACCGGGTAGATGTTGTCGCGGACGATGCGGAAGTCATCGTAGGAGACATGAGTGAAACCCGGACCACCCTTGACGTCGCCAATCGCGTAGACGTTTTCAATGTTTGTCTCGAGTGTCGGGCTGACTTTGATGTGTCCGGTTGATGTGGCGAGTATGCCTGCAGCTGCAAGATTGAGCGTATCGGTGTTGGGTGTCCGGCCAGTTGCCATGAGGATATGTGATGCTTCCAGCGTCGTTGTACCAGTCGCTGAATTACTGGTTTTGATGGTGATGGGGAGATCGTCGTTTTCGGATTTTGATATGTGATCAGGCTTGGAGTCGAGAAGCAACTCAATCCCGTCTTCCGTGAAGATACCCTGCATACACTCTGCCAACTCGGCGTCATCTCTCTTTCCCAACAGTTTCGGTCCCCGCTGAACGATCGTGACCTTTGCACTCAGTCTCCGAAACAACTGACCAAACTCCAGGCCAATGACTCCTCCACCGATAACAACAAGATGTCGCGGCACTTCACCCAGTTCCTGAACACTCGTCGAATCTAGTACTCTATTCTGATCGACCTGTTCCAGCCCCGGAATCTCCGGCCGCGAAGGTCGACAACCGACATTCACAAACACCCTATCCGCACTAAATCTCTTCACTCCGCCATCATCGACCGCAACTTCGACTTCCCTCTCGCCAACAAACCTGGCGCTTCCCATCACCACATCGACGCCCGCATTGCCCAACCTCTTCTCACTCCCGCCCCGGAAACTCTGCACAATATCTCTTTTCCGCTGTCGGACCTTCAACATATCAATCCTCACGTCTCCATTTCCTCCGGCATGAACGCCATACTCGTGCGCTCTGCGTGCCAAATATGCCATGCGCGCGCTTGCAACCATAGTCTTTGTCGGCGTGCATCCTTCGTTCACACAGCAGCCTGCAATGTGAGCGCGCTCGACGAGACAGACAGACTGGCCTAGGGATTTGATGTGTGTGGCTAGTGGTGTGCCAGCCTGGCCGGAGCCAAGGATGAGTGCGTTGTAGTGTTGTGTTGTTGCCATGGTCGTGGCGACGCGACGAGTAGTGTAGTGTTTTGAGAAGGTTTTGGTGGCCAGTTGTAAAAGCATGAGGTAAACAGCACAAGCTGGAGTGGGTTATACCTTCGTGGGTAGGAACTCAAAGATACTCATGCATCAATCGCTAAATTACCACCCAGATTACTGTCAACGATGCGGGCACGTGGGCGCCATTGGGCCGCTTATTCATTGTCTGCGGGGTGTTAACCTCAGACCATCGTCAGAACGGGAGGGACAAGGAATGCTCACACTCGATTCGGCGCCGACCACCACCTAGCCTGCGCAAGAGATCCAGCTAGTAGGGCATGCCTCAAGCGCTAAGTTGTTGCTTATGGACAGTAGCTCCAAGCCGCATCTGAGTAAGCCAGCTCAGTCATGCAGCAACTCGAAAGCACGAACCAAATCTCACGATAAGACAGCTCACCAATGAAGTCCAGGTTGCGGTTCATCAACCATTCCAGTCCATTAAGCATTATACTACTAATGATTATCTTGACGGTAGCTGGCAGACCAACATTGCAACAGCAGACCGCCAGTCATGCATTCCTCCATGCCCGTCTTCCAACCCCCTAGCAGACACCCAGCCGCTGTAGAATCGAAAGCGCGTGCTGGGCGCCGAAGCGAATGTTTACAAGTACAATTGGAAAATCAAAGTACTTTTTACAGTCCAGAAGCGACCGACTGGGGTATCAAAATGTAATAAACCGCGCAAAAGTTGCGCTAAAGGATCCACAAGAATGTGTGTAGTGGTCCTGAGTGACAATGCATCCCTCGATCTTACGACGCCAATGTCTATGCCGTGTGAATCCAAATAATGGACCGCTGAAATGCTGCGCAAACGAATAACTCCGTGGTATGCATGAGGTCATCAAGGCCGTCACCGTAACGGTGGAGGAGGAGATGCGATCTGAGGATGAGTTTGAGGATGTGGGAAGGTGAGATGGTGGTAAGATGTTCTATCGCTGTTCGGTATCGGATCCGACAGTGTCGCCATCCCAGAGGCTCTGGGCGTCGGCGTCGACTGGCGAGCGGGCGCCCATGGGACTCCGACCACCAGTTGAGTATGAAGATGAGGAGCCACTGGCCCAGTCATCGGAATCAGATTGTGGCTGGAATTCTTCATAAATGTCGAGCATGCTGTAGCCGGCGCCATCCATGGGGTCGCCAATCTCAACATAATCGTAGTCCCAGCGGAACTCCTTATCGGCCTGTGGGCGAGGCAGGAATCGAGCTCGAGCGAAGAAGTAGGCGATACCGGCAACTGTACGTTGTTAGCAATGAATTGGAAACGGTAGTCTGTGATACTTACGCAGGCTGCCAGCAACCAGGTCAATGGCGTAGTGGTGCGAGAAGTACATGGTCGACCACCACAGCCACATGGTGTAGA